TTTGAAGGTCTCAACAAGTTTTTTTTATTTACATTAGTTTAAACAGCATCATGAAGACCAAATAAATACCCAGGCAGATCAAATGTAAATTTGTTGAATCTTTTAAAGTAAGTTAAGTTTTAAAACAATACATTGAAGAACTATGTTATCCAAAAATAATATGCAGACATCCACAGCTAAGAAAAAAAAAAAAGATACTGTTTGCAGTTATGTGGAAAAGGGCAGATTAGACCAAAGTTTTAACTAACTGGCTTACATGCAAAACACTGATATGGAAAATTTACCATAGAAATCACTGTGACGTCCTCATTCTGAACCATGGTGGTGGCAAGTTATACCGTAAGAATACCTTTCTTTACCTGGCATAATGAAATTACAGAAGCTACTTTGTGATTGTCTTATCACATAATATCCCATAAAAACTGAAGTTTGTGAATATAATGTGACAAATTTAGAAATGCTAAGGGTGTGTAATGGTCTTGAAAATTGGTGCAATTTTATTTCAGAATGTAACTTTAGAACATTTGACAGCCTATATTTTCAGTATAGTTTGACTGAAGCTTAAAACAAAGGGATATTTCTTTCCATAGTTTTGGTTTAATTAGTTTATATTTTCTGGTTAACCTGGGTTGTACAGGCACCTAATAGTGACACATTTTGGTTATCAAATCTATAAATTATCATTTAAAAACAGCATTATATGACATAAATGCAACACTGCATTGATTTGCATAATAATAAAGAGCAATCAGTTAGACAAACAAATTTGACTTTAACCAGGATGAGAGACACAATGATGGTGATGAAGTAAAGCATCTAAACTTCATCTCAAATACTACTTAGATCAGCAGGTGAACTGCTAATAATCAAGGAGACTCCACCCTTAAACCCAGTTTAGTTGGCTGAAACCCAGAGTACATATCCACCCTTCCTGTCTGCACATCCCTAAAATAAACATGAAGTAAAATCCGTAATATAGGCCTCATAAAGTAAAGCACCATTGGCATGCGGTACATGGCATAGTGAGAGCTAAGAGGCAAGCCAACCCCACCCCCTTCTCTGCAAAATTATCATTACAGAGACAGAGTGGGAAGAGCGACAGAGGGTGAGGGGAAGTGAAAGGGATAAGGGCGAGGCAGTTGGACCATCTTCCCAGAGGCTCAATCACATTTAATGCCTGGACGAAGAGACAGAACTATCTGCTGGTCACTAATGTTAATATCAGCAAAATAATGAAAAGTCGGCTCCAGAATTACTGCTTTGACATAGAGAGCTAAAAATGGAAAGATGGCATACAATCAGTATTTGTCAAAGTGTTTTACTTTCTGCCAACCATCTTTTTTTTTTGATATACATCTCTGTTTGACTCTCTCTTCCCATCTCCTACCCTCATTCCATCTTTAACTGCAACAAAGGGATTAAAAAGGATTACTTCTGACATGTCAATGTGACGCTTGTGATAAGTATAGTGGGATTTTTATTTTCTCTTGCACTCCTAAGTCAATATGATAAGCATACAAAGAAGGAAAGAGGTCACCATACATTATAAAGAAGATAGAGTGTGAGAAAACATAAACTTAGTGTATTGAAATGTTATATCAACAAGAGCAAATGCTACATTCTGTTTCTTAGACAACAAAACTTTCACAAATTTGTGAAAATGATTGTCAAAGTTCCAGCTTCACTGTGTTTGGGTCCCATGTAGGACTACTCATAGTGGGATATACAGTATCTGTCATTTTGAAGCTTTCCTATGGAAGTAAGAATAAGCAGTGATGCTACAGAGACATTGTGTATAAATGAGGGTAAAGACAAGTATTGTTTTGGATATGAAATCCTTTTCATGTGATTCAAAGGACAAAAACGGGTTTGAGGTGTTAAAAAAGTTCAAAAGTCAGTGCGACTTAAGCAGCCAGCTGACCAACCACACTTCCTTCGCTCAGACAAATGCAGCCAAAATTATTCTATAGAACCAAAACAACCATAATATCCCAGTCAAGCCAAAAATGTTTTCATTACAGATGGTTTTCACAAGATGATCAAACTAGTTTAAACATATAGAAAACAAAAAATATGGGTTTCATAATATGCACTTCAAAAAAAAAAAAAAATTGCGGCTTCAGCACACATATGCTTGCATTGTCTTGATTATATTATAAACAGGATGGTGTGGTTTCCGTTTGTTCAAATCTTGTGTTTGTTGTGGATATTGGCATAGCAGAGGTATTGCTATGATGTGTGCTCTCTAAATGTTCAATTAGGCATCTGTACATAAAGATGATAACTGTATCCATTACAGTTCTCCAAAATTCAGCCAATTGCCTTCTTATTAGAGTTAAATAATATCATCACATTAGCCCAGTTTATTTTACTTTTAATAGGAATTAAATTCACTTAAGATATTATTTGTTCCAATGTTTGGATGAGAAGGAAATTGTAGAAGAAAACAATTACAACCCAACTCTCTGTTCTGATAACAAAACATTAGTCCAGACTTAAAGAACTATGAACAATTTAAAAAAAAAAATCTAAACATGTTTTTAAACTAGAGGGGCACCAATCCGACTTTACTTTGTTGATACCAATTGCAAAACTAAGTAAGGACATTTTGTGATGGTCCCTTGATAAAAGTAGTATCTTTTAGAGGCATCGTCCACTTTTTTTTCCGTCTATTGACAGTAGCCTTTAATACGATCTAAAATTGATATTGCTGTGGTATTATTGTTTGTTTGTTTTTGTTCTTTGCTTTTCTTTAGAAGTTTGTGTTTACATATTTTCTGTTTAAAAACCCTTTAAATCTTGGATTTTATCTAGATGTCATTCTATCATTTTACATGACCTTGGTAAAGCATGTATTAAAGTTTGAAAGTTTAAGAAAAAAGAAAGAGAAAGTATCTAAACAATGCTTTGAAATATATGTCCCTAAACGTTTTAACTTATTTGCAGATGTAACACTGTGAATTATAGTACATTCTGTTGAAGGGTTTATATACTGAAGGTGGCAGAGTTTCTTACTTTTGCTGGACATAAGATTTATATAAAAATTTCTTAGTTATATATGCAGGAATCTTTATGCACACTGCTTGATTAAAGGTTTTTTTTCTGCATACAGGAATGTTGCTATAGAGATAGAGAGACTTCACATAAATGTGTAATATTTTTAGAGTCCATTAAATTACTACAAGGTGATCAAATAATGAAAATTGTATAAGTAATGCATTAAGTTTTTAGAAAGGTTCAGAGGTTAATTGGACAAGTAATGCTTTAATATGCTGCAAAAACCTAAACATGCATGTTGCTGAGTAACCCAAGAGATTAGTTTCAACAAAACTGGCACAGGTAAGACATAATAATAAACAAATACATAAACAGTAGTAGATATTTGCAAAGAGTATGCATATCAGGAGATTCTACTTATTGCCAGTTGTCTGCAGAGATCATTTTAGTCCTGGTACGCCTCCAAATGTCTCAAAAGACATTCAGCTCACACTGTGAAAAGTCTTATCTGAGGAAACTTACAGTGTGTGAGGAGATAAAGTTTCAGAGGCTCACTGTGAGACACTTGCCCAACATGAGCCTTGCTGCTGTGATCAAACCGTTCAGTCACAGGGTGATCTGCCTAACCGGTGGATTACACCGGCACCCCTGAAGGATGAGAACTGCAGTTTTTAAAGAGGAAATTCTGTATGCAGAATGAAGGCTTTGTGACTCATTGTTCCAGCAGAGGTGCAAATGTAACTGTGCCAAAATACAGTTGACAAAAAGTTCAAGAAAATAGCCTGGGGTGCCTGCTCTGTCATTTTCAGAGAAAGGTGCTGAATGTCTTTTTTGTCTGTTTGTTTGTTTGTTTTTCGGGGGGGGGGTTAAATTATTATTTTTTTGTGAAATTTGTTATCACATCCTGGCTTTGTTTGATCAGATCTCACTCAGTTGCAGCTGTTGGTATTGGATGCATCCGTTCTGGCATGCAGCCCAGAGGGAAACCTCAACCTGATCCAGCTGCTGGCAGACTGCACTCAGGTAGCCTCTAAATTGGCTTATCTATGCTGACCCTGGCCGGCTGATTAACAAACAGTGCTGTATGGCAGCACAGAGCGCTGGATTAGGGACGTGGTTTCTATGTGTGTTTGAAAGTGTGAGTGGATCATAACCGTGGCACGGACAGGTGCTTATCTCATTCCACTGGTGTAAAGCCCATGCGTGACTCTGACTCGGAGAGGCCCAACACTCTGCATCAAGTCTCTCTCTCTCACACACACACATTTTTAGTCTATTGGTTGCTGGAAGCCTCCCAGTTGTGTAGCGACCATGCAATCCCACCTCTCATCCTACATGGCACGCGCCCCCTCTCTCTTTCCAAGCTGCAGCAAATCTACCCCTAAATACAAGAATCACGCTCAAAACACAACAGTGTCACTATGCAGGCGGTGGTGGAAGGTAGAAAAGACGCTAGGACCCCCCCACCCCAAAACACAGACACACACCCCACTCTCTGCCACTGCAGTATCGCTGTCAGATGATGATATTGGAGGTAATGCCATTATACTTAAAGATAATCTATAAATAGAATATCTGTAGCCTTCTCGGGTAATTCAGGGAGCAAGCATCACAAAAACCACCTGTTCTGCGCCCACACCGAAAGGGAAGAAGGCTGCATGCTCTTAAAGTGTTAAGAAGCAGGACGCATTCATGGTATTAATCATACCAGACGCAGCTGTAATGTAAAGTTGCCCTCTGCTCTGAGGGATCATTTGAAATTTCAGATTTGCCATTTTAACCTGAATGGATGAAAAAGAAAGAAGTGAAACTCCGAGAAACATCGGTGCGTCAGAAAACCATTGAAGCAGGAGCGCGTTTATCAATGTCTAATCCCCCCCCCCCTTCTGTTTCCTGACAGACGCTCACAAAAGCTCTGCTGTGATTTTTTTTTTTTTTTTTTTTTTTTTGATTTTTTTTGACCAAAAAAATAAATAAATAAAACACCCAAATCAGTAACTTACCGATATGGATGATTGAATCCGACAGCGCCGACTTCCACTCCTGGCTCCAAAAAACGGCAATAAGCATCACGACCAGGAGAACTTTCATTATGTCCAGAGATGAGGGGAAAAAGACAGACAGAAAAACAAAAAAATACAGCTCTGAGCAGAGTTAAAAACCCGTGAAACGAGGCTTCTCTTTTAGTCCATCAATCTATCTTGGTTTTGCTCTTTTTGCGCGTTAGGAGGGAGAAGGAAAGGGTATAAATGAAGAGGAGCAGATTTCTAGGGTATAGTGAGAGACCTGCACCCTGTTGAAATTCCTCCTAACATTAAATCAGATCCTGGGTGAGCAGCGGCGCCGAGCTGCAGTGAAGGAAAAAAGAGAAAAACGCGCCGCATCCAAAACGCCGACGCGTTCAGTCGAGGCTGAGAGGCTGGAGGATGTTATCAATCGTTACAGAAAGAAACGTATCTGATCAAATTCGATAGCGATAGACGCACTTTGGGGTTAAACCTCGTTGTCTTGAACTGCAGGTCCTGTGATGGCCAATGACCCCAGATCCCCCCCCTGCTTTTTTAGATCTGGCGACGCAGTTTCCCCTCCTGCACCAATCGCCACCAGCAGCCTCTCAGAGGACCAAGCCAACGTCCAAAACTTCCATTCCTCCTGGGGTTCCCTTTATGCTCCCCTTCACTCAGTTATTCTATAAAAAATCCCCAAAAGTCTGAGCTAGAAGCGACTTTTCTTGAAGATGATGGAAACGCCAAAATGTGGAATAGCCAGGTCACATGGCATTACCACGAAAGGCACAAAATATTCCACAATTGTCTTTAGAATTCCTGTAGAAATTAAGACTGAAAAGAGATCTGATGTGAGACAGCCCCAGATTCTTTTCAGCACACTGGAAGGGGAAATGTAGGCATTTGAAGGGAAAAGGATGCATATAACAGAGGATGCACTCAGCGACACTCCTTGTGCCGCACTCCGTATGCGCGTACTCGCCTCAGCTCCAGCTCGAGCGGTGGCTGGTGGAGAGGAGGTATGCAGCGTCCGCTGTGGGAGAGAGAGGAAGGTTGGAGTGGAACAGAGAGAGAGAGAAAGGAGAGAGATGGAAACTATAAGCAGGGGTGCCAAGTGCCAGGGTGAAAGAGTGATGAAATTAAAATATATACAAAAGAAATGGGTCCTGAACGACTGATGAGTAAAAAGGAGGGGTAGTATAGGTGTATCCCAATAAACTATGCTATAAACAATAAGTTAATGAATTTATTTTAACCATTTAAATGGAAACCTGCTTCAAATAACCAATTTACATCAAACATTTTACCTAAAGGGCTGCCCAGTGGAACAGTGGGTAGCACTGCTGCCTTGCAGCAAGAAAGTTCTGGGTTTGATTCCTGGCCAGGGGTCTTTCTGCATGGAGGTTGCATGTTCTCCCTGAGCATACATGGGTTTGGAAGGTACCCCAGCTTTCTCCCACAGTCCAAAAACATGACTGTTAGGTTAATTGGCTTCTCTAATTACTCTTTAGGCGTGAGTGTGTGTGTGAATGGTTGTTTCCTGTTTGTCTCTTTGTTACCCTGCATCCTGCAATGGACTGGCGACCTGTCCAGGGTGCATCCCGCCTCTCGCCCTTTGACAGCGGGAGGCACCAGCACCCCTCGTGACCCCACTTGGGATTAAGCGTGTTACATTATAAATACTCAACATTACACTTAATGGGTTTAAAGGTAGTACTTAAAGTTCATAAAACTAGATTTTTACTAGTGCTTTATGATAAAACAAGATGCAGAGGCAAAAAGAAACTAACCTGACTCCGTCAGATGGATTTGCTCTGCATATCCATCTGGAAACCTTCCGTTGAAGTAATTTTGGGAAATACTTGTTAGCTGATTGGCCTATGTTGGTGATAGACGGGCCAAATAAACCAATCAGATCAACGAAGCATATGATGTACTAACAGAACAACGACGAAAACACAACCACAAGCCAGGCTACTCTTGCCGAAACCAGTCGGGAGAAGAGCAAAAACATCTTTTCCTCTGAGAAAAGCCTCCAGAGTAGTGTTTTGCTCTTCTTTCAGTGAAGAAATACTCTTTAGTTCCGATAAAACTTGCTCGATAGCCACGCTAACGCTAGTTTCATCGGCCAAAGCCGCCATGTTCTTTAGACTGACCTGTCGCGCTTCTCATTGCACACCTCAACCCACCTCAAAGCCAACGCTGATTGGACGTTCGGTTGGTGAACAGCTCCAAATTTTCTTTAACGGAGAGTCTCCAGACTGATCTGTGAGAAACCAGAGGAAATCAAGAACATTCAATTTTAACTAATAACACAAATGCCTGAATTGTTGCTTTGTGGCTCAATCCTCTCTATTCAGTTTAAAGGCATAAATATTGGTAAGCTGATGAGGTGTTGTACTTCATATAGGGGCCCACCCAGATAATGTTGCTTCCAGGCCTATTGTTGTGTCGTTACGTCATTGATTCAGGTGAATGTACCTTTAGCATTACATTTTGAAATATATGCCCTACTGTGTTGAAAAAGTGTGGAAAGGCAAATAATCCAAGATGCCTACTGTAACATTGTCAGGGTTCAGTGGTTGTTTGAGGACCCAAATGCAGAGGCAGAGGCTGAGGAGATTTCTTGCAGCTTTAATGAAATAAACACAGGTAACAGAGGCGGGAATCCAAAAATCCCAAATCAAACATGAAAAATATAAAGCAAACCAGAACTATGGAGACATCTGGGGAAACAACACACGAGGAGCCAGGGAGAGATGAGGTAGGTGGACAACAGCATGGGAGGACAGCAAAGACAAGGAACCAACAAAGAGTGAGAGCAGAGGGAGAGAATATATAGCAGAGAGAGACAAAGGGAGGGCTAACGAGCAGACAAGGAGCAGGTGTGAGAGGAGACAACGAGGGAGCCAAGGGGAAAAGAACATACACACACAAGAGGGCAATAGACAACACAAAAACATGAGAACTAACATAAATCTAGAAATTACAACAAAACTGGAATTAAACCAATAAAACTAGAAAACAAGGAGCAAAGTAAAGAACAACAGAACCAATACCATGACAAACATTCCCACAGTTTATTAGGATTCTACCATTTTATCAAGTTGACAGTGAGCATATAGTCTAACAGAAAATTTTCAAAATGCAATGGGGTTCCGACAGCCAACTAGCTTTATGATAATATTTGTTAGCAGGACTGCTCTCACCCAAAGGTATCACTACCAGGGCAACAAAGTCTCCTTCCCAGAAGGGGATCTATGTTTGTCAAGAGAAAGATTATCAGTTCTAACGATGCAGACTAAAGGCAACTTGAGTTTCCTTAGTCCTTTGATTGCCAAATACATGGAACTAGTAGTTTGTGCCTAAAGATCCCAACTATAGATTAAGTGCAGGGGCTGAACAGTAAACAATTTTCAGTAGACTTGTTTTTTCATATTTGTCTGGATTTTGTGAAGGACCATAATGAAGATTGAAATGGAATATACTTAATCAAAAAATGATAATGCATGCAAAGAGCAAAAATTGAGAACAGGGCAGGATATAATAGAACCTCAAGTAGGATAGAAATAGAACCTCAAGTAGGAACAATTAAAGAAACACACAAAGAGTATGACAACCAGACAGCTTATATGCAAAGTAAAGAGCAGTGAAATTCATAGAAAAACAAGTGGGAGCAATAAGAGAAAAAGACAAATGTTGTCTCTCACCTACTATATCTGCACCATCAGGATTAGAGCTGAAACAGTTAACCTTTTAGGAAGTGCTGAGACTTTAAGTTCCATGTAGCATCGGTGGCATGAAATTAAAAGTCTGTGTTGGACTTTAGGGGGATGGGGGAATCCACATTTCCTGTCAAACTTGGCTGGGAAGCCTTCTGTGAAGTTTTCATTTTGTTAGTGCTCATTGGAAAGAAGACAGGGTATTGCAAAGTCTGATTTTGGATGGAGGAAGTTTTATGGGGGGCTCCCTCCACCTGTCTTGCGAAACCCGGCGGGGAACCCTTTTGTGATGATCTCTCACTCTGAGCAAAGTGTTTAGTTTTTCTTGCCTTAGCTGGAGCTGTATGTGCCAGCCTGTTTTTGTTAGTTTTATGTTCTCTATTCCAGTTTGAGGCTGCTACTGGGTAGGTCACATAATAAACAGATTAGATATGAGATTAGCTGCTATTTGTCTCAACAGAGGCCATCTTTCTTGAAATGTTTTTTTCTCAAAAATATTGAAATATTTAACAGAGTTCACCGGTAATTCTGCACACACATTTTTTTCTCACTCTCTAATAATCATAAAAGAGGGTGAAGGGAAGCATATTGCGCTGACTAGATCCTGTCAACCTGTTTGATCAAATAAACATGGCTTAGTCATTTAGAAAAAAAAAAAAAAAGATAATCCATGGGAGTACCTGGTAAAAAGTACATTAAGTCAAACATTTCCACAATTTTGACAGAAATATCAAACTTAGGAGTAAAATACTGCCAATAGGGATCAGGAAAGAAAAGCATCTCAGCAGGCAGAGCGGCAGAAGAATCTTTAGTGAGGATCAATGAGATTTACACCTGAATGTGTTTCTGTTGATTACATGCACATGGTTTGTCTTCATTTCTCTTTAATTCAAGGTGGGGTTTTCTGCTCATTTATTGTCAAGGCTTCTGCTTGAGTATCTAATTTCTTGTGTGTGTGTGTGTGTGTGTGTGTGTGTGTGTGTGTGTGTGTGTGTGTGTGTGTGTGTGTGTGTGTTACGCCCACCAAGGACACAACATATTTGAGGACACGAGACAAAAAATGAGGGTTCAAAAAAAGATATTTTATTAATAAATTCTCTCCGTTTTAGTTGTTCTTGGTTCGGCTTCTTCAGATGTTCTGCGAAGAGAAAAATAGTTAACGGCCCTCAAATCCCGTGCCCCAAAAAAATAAAAAAAGAAGCCCAAAGTAACAACAGAAAGTTGGACCTGGCAGGCCGATCAAACAGAATAAAACGGTACAGCAGGGGGCCAACCCTATACATGGCCGTCGAAGCCCCTACTGGTACCGGACTAAAGGCAAAAAAATAACCTAAGCGAAAGAAAAATCGAAAACAGGACTACCGGTCCCGCCAGGCCAAAAACCTCAAGAAAAAAGTAAGAAAAAGGTAACAAAAATACCACATGGCAGGCTGGAACGTCCGCTGCAGGCCGCAGCGACAAGACAAGTGCGCACCGCGCACGATGGAGCAAATGAAGCAGGTGGGAAGTGGCGTCCAAACGAGGTTGGAAAGGAACGCGCAAGGAACACGCAAGGAACACACCAACGTGCTGAAGGCCAGCCTATTTATAGGCGGACGACAGCACCACAAATTAACATAATTAATTTACTAAAAGAATCCTAAAATATATTAACAAAAGGATCCTTCAACTAAAGTTTATAAGCAAACGAAGAAAAGAAATGGACAAAAATCATAATGTGCCTGGGGCACATAACACCCCCACCCAAAGACTCTGAATGGGGTCCGAAGCAAAGCTCAACCCATTCAGAGAAAAAAAAAAGGAAAGCGGGACTACAGTCGTGAGTGTGTGTCGGCCACTACATTGTCTTATCTTCACATAATAAAAACACGTTAAAAGGAAAGCGGGACTAGAGTCAGGAGAGTGCGTCAGCCACTACGTTGTCCCCTCTTCCTACAATAAAAACACGTCACATAGCTTTCACATCCAAGACATGATCTAATGCGCTCTCAATGCCACCGAGCGCGCAAACACAGCCGATCCACCAACTCCAGTCTGCGTTCTTCCAAAAACAGCTCCTTTTCCATCAAAGCCAGCTGTCCTAATTCGATCTGAAGTTCCTCTAAACGACACGGATCAGCTGCAAGTGAGGTTTTATTCGGCGATTCATCAAGACTCTGTGCTAAAACTGCAGCAGGAAAAATATCCTTCGTGCACTCACTAAAGACATCTAATGTGGCTCCTCGAGCACTCATCCAGGTCAGACTCCATGTCCACCCCTGGAATCTAGCCACACAAACTGTCAAGCACACATACAAAG